GAGTTGAATGTAAAGAACAGCCAAGAATGGTTTAACAGAATCTTGTCAGAGTCTGGCAGAAACCCTGCTCGCTCCCCATTTTGTCCACCTTTAAACTTGCCAAGCCTTGTTCACTTTGGCTTTATTTTAAAAATGCATTTCTGGTGAGTGAGGAAAGGTTTTGTACTGTGTTTTCAATGACTCACCCAAAATAACTCCATTCAACTTGTGAAGGGTCCTGTTCTGAATGCAGATTGTGTTTGTTCTGAGATGGGCATGAAGGCTCTGCAGAAGGGAGATTAGAGAAGGGAAGTGTGATGGGAGAGGCCAGTGCAGGTAAGGCACACATCAGAACGATTTTGAAAAAGACATTGTGCGTATGTGTATGTGTGTGCACGTTTTAAAAACACATTTATAAGGTCTGTACCATTTAAAGCTTCAAAAAATACATGAGTATGAGATACATGGTCCATCTAGTCACTAACTTCATGTTTTTGACCCTCATAAAATGTAGGAGACACTTACATGTACATATATAATTCCAAAGGTATGCATAATGAAATGATAAAAATTTTTTAATAGTTCTAAATGGCTTCATGTAGGAAGTAATCATACATGATATAAGAGCTAGAAATAATCTTTAATTAGGAAGAAAATGTATATTAATAAACTGATCACATAATAGGACAGTGTTAAAACTGGGAAATGCAATAATGACATCCTCCTGTTTTGTTGTGAACTGCAGAAAAACGTTTACTTTCAAGGGGTATAGGTTGAGCACTTGATAGTGAAAGATATATCCCTTGAGAAGTTTATATGATTCGAAATGTCAGAGATCTTTGAAAACAATATTTTAGGGTAGGACTAAAAGGAAAAAGAATAAAGGACAGACCTAACCTTGAGCAGTGAGACTTCACAGCTGAATTAAAAGCATTTTGTCATTCTTATGTGTAACTTTGTCCAGATAGGAGGATTTCAAAACCTCTTTTGAGTTGTTTCATTAATTCATTAAACAGACCAAATAAAGCTTATTCTGTTATATAATCTTGCTTCATGCCATTGTTCATGAAGAATAGATGAGCCATTCTTACCTGTTGCTCAGAAACACCAAATAATTGAGCCACTGAAAAGAAAAACTCTCCATAAGGCTTTACCACGGAGAGGGTAAATTTAGCATTATGTAGCTAACTGAAGAAATTGTGACCTGGAAATGATGAAACAAGGGATAAAATTGCAAGTTTTCAACATGCACAAAATCAGAAAGTATATAAACATACCCAGATTATGTAAGTAATTTTCAGGGTAAAGTTCCTGTGGTATTACCACCTGCTTCTCCTTCCGTTGTGAACTTGGGAAAATAAGGGAAATCAAAATACCAGATTGTTATGTTCTATTAATATTTCCTTATGAAGATGATGAACTAGTATAATAATCCGTGAATTTTTGCTAATGTGAAAGAATATATAATAGGTGTAATTATAGACCTTAAGTATGCAATTTTGTTACTTTAAAGTATATACAAAAACCCAGCCCTGGCTGGTGTGGTTCAGTGGGTTGAGTGCCAACCTGCGAACCAAAGGGTTGCCAGTTTGATTCCCTGTGTGGTGCACATGCCTGGGTTGCAGGCAAAGTCGCCAGTAGGGGCGCACAAGAGGCAACTACGTACACATTATCTTTCTCTCCCTTTCTTTCTCCCTCCTGTCCCTTCTCTAAAAATAAATAATAAATCTTTAAAAAATAAAATATACACAAAACCCCAGAAATATTTAATGACTAATAATGACTTAAAGGAATATATCAAAAATCCAATCTAAGTTAGACAAACCACTTTTCCTCACAGTTCAATTATAAAACTTACAAATAATTTTTTTTAAAGTTTTTGAATAATTCACTTACTGAATAACACATTTCTTTCATTCCCTTTTATCCTATGGTGAATGATTTCACTGTTATCCTTGGAAATGATAATAGTTACATTGAGAGACCACAAAAGATTTCATGTTGAAATGCGTTTCAGAAATAGTGAGTTAGGAAACTTAAACCTTTTTCTTCTTTAAAGTAAATCTTGAAGACTTCTAAAGTCTTTGACATTACCTTGGCTGGGTTGGGGTAGGGGGAGATGAGGATATAGCATGTAGTGTTATCCGAGCTTATTTTACATAGAATTTTTCTCTACAGGTAATCCTATTGAAGTCTAAAGTGCTGCTCTGCTTGTTTAATCTGTATTCTATTTATTGTACACCTCCCAGCTCCTCTTTGTCTTAGTAAATGGTGAAAATTTGGTAAATTGAATTGATACCACTTTCTGATCATATTCTGAATTATTAAGAATTCCATGCACAAAATAAAATTTTGATTCTGTAAATACTATTAAAGAAACAATGCCCTAACTAGAACCAAAATCCTTTAGCGTGCTTAATAGTAAATCTTGTTTTGTAATTTTGTGTTCTGTGTTAAAATCTGGAAAAGCAAAAAATAACTAATGTAATCGAACTGAGCTTAATGTTTCACTTTTGATATAAGCTTTCCCATTTAAAACTACCTAATTTAACGTGAGCATGTTTTCTGTTCTAACCTGAATTTATGGCATTTAAAAAATTCAGCTGCATAAGTATAAAGATAGATGGCATTTACTAGTATAATAATTTCCTCATATAAAATTGATTTTTGCCTTCTGCAGTATAATAATTCCAATAGCTGTACTGAGCACCTACTTTATTCCATGTGACTCGCATCACCTTGGGAAGGTGTTTCACAGATGAGGAATGTGCTGACGTTAGCTGTCTTGCCCTAGGCCATACCATTAAAGAGACAGAAACAGATTTCAAACTTCGGTCTGACACCAAAGACCCTACTGTCCCACTATATCATGCTGGATGGAATTGAACACATGTACTATAAATTTGTTTCTTTCTCCATCTCGTAAGCATCAGTGACTTAGACATTATTTTTATGCAAAGCTTCAGCAATGTGGATTTGCAGTTGGTCTGTAATACAGTACTTGTTTGGAAAAACACTCCTTGAAGAAGCAAACAGCTAGACTCTGGCATGGCATTCATTCTTGAATAAATGAAAGCCCTTGGACATTTTTTAAAATCTCAAAGTTGAGAATACAATTTTAATCTCCTACTTTTTAAAATAGGTTGCTCTTTTGAGAATTTTCTTCTCTATTATTTCTGTACTTAACATATTGCATTAAAAATTACCACGTAGAAGAAAACATATGATTGCACTATTGGAGATTCAAATTGCTGTTACCTACTGGCAATTTTTTTTCTTTTATTATTTGACCTTAGTAGTTTCATTTTTAAATATAAAATATAGCTCATTATTGCTTTTTTCAAGGATTCCTTGTTGTCTAAAAGTGTATTTAAACAATAACAAAACTAAATAAGTCTTAGAGAAACAACATGAAACAAACATTTCATCCATTTTATTATCCATTCTGAAGAACATAAAGAATAGAAAATTTACTTCAGAAGAACTCATCATTTCTCGTGGGACTGGCACTGTACTAAAAATAGAAGGGGTGCAGGAAGAATACTGAGAAATGCTCTTTAGTCTTTCAGATTACAATTTGGCTAGGAAGTCAAACATACCCTCAGAGGCTAGTCATATTATTTACTGCACAATTCAGTCCCCAAATAAATGACATAGACATTCAGTTGCATATCAGGAAATTGTGGGAGAGATGTGACTGGAACTGGTGGAATGGTGCAGTGGTGGAAATGTTCTGGCTCAGTGGGATCTTGAAGATCATGAAGGTATAGAACAGAAATGAACTGAGCATTGAGGATATACAGTCAGCAACAGCCAGTGGCAATGATGGAACTTAAGCTGGGAGAAGCTTCTGGGTAGGGTGGGTCCCACTAGGGTCCTGAATGAAACTGAAAACAATATACTTGGTTCTCTGTGGCTTTTGACCAGAACTTTTGAGTGCCTTCTCCTTCACTCTCACCTTTCTACAGGCAGCTAAACTCTGGCTTATTCTGAAGGGCCATTAAACTGTTAGCTGCTTTTGCCAAAGGACTCTTGAAGGCTGAAAAATCTTGGAAACTCAAAGAAGAGTAATAGTAAAATTTTAAACCAATAAGAAAGTAACATTGTTCTGGCTCCCTTAATAATTCCTAGAATACATAAGGCCCAGAATGACATTGAGATGGTTTTGTAAAGTTAGTCTGGATTTTGGATTATAAAATTGTAGCTACCGGTAAATAGCAGTTCACATCTGATTTTGAAGAGGATTTTACAGTCTTCCTGCTGAGAGTTTTAAAAAATAACAAAAGGGAATACTCAAGCTTATTTGAAAAACAGTTCTGAACCTTGAGTCATTTGTTTCTCGAAGCATTTGGTGCCTCAAAAGCCAAGCACATTTTCCCAGCTATTATTCCTTGCTCTATTTTACTTGCTCTCTCCATGTGAAACTTCAACGTGGAATTTCCACATTAAATTTTCTTTCTCAACTCATTTGAATACATAACACAACCACTATAAATAACTTTCTTAAGCATGAATGTAGAACTCCACAAAGCATGGTCTGTCCCAGTTTTGACATTTTGAAAAGACAAGGACGACGAGGGCGCACTTTTCTTTCACCTTTTTCCACAATTCCCTCGGACTCCTCGAATAATATCCAGCACTTGTTTTGACGCGGTGAAAAGTCCGTTTAGGGAGACCTGGCTTTTCTACATTTTGCTTGGGAGTACAGAACTTGGGAAGAAGAAACCAAACTAACAAACTAGCAAACAAACCTCGCCCACCACCCAGGGCGGCCGGCTCCAGCACACAGCGCCCGCTGCGCCCTCCGCGCCCCGCCCCGCGCGCCCCCAGCCGGAAGGGGGCGTGGGACGCCGCCGAGGGAGGGGCGCGCAGACGCTCAGCGGCCGGCCGGGCCCCAGGCGCGTCGGGAGTGGGGCGGGAGGCGGGGGCCCGGGGGCGGGGACCTGGGAGCGGGGGCTGGCGGGCGCTAGGCTCCCGGCGGCGCTCGTTCGGGCTACTCGCGCTCCCGCGCCCAGCCGGCTTAATGTGAAGCGCCGGCCCTCCGCCTCCTCCCTCCCCTTCCTTCCCTCCCTCCCTCCCGTCCCCTCCTCCTCCTCCTCCTCCTTCTTCTCCTCCTCCAGCGCCCGCTGCCCCGGGCCCCCAGCCCGGCCGGGCGCTGACAGCAGGGGCGGGGGTCTCCGCTGCCGCCTGGTCTCGCGCAGGCTCCGGCGGCTGGGGCAGCGGAGCCCCTGGTGCGGCCATGGACCGACCCCTGTCGGCGGAGGCGGAGGAGGAACTGGAGTGGCAAGTGGCGAGTCGCAGGAGGAAGGCCTGGGCCAAGTGCCGCGGGTCCTGGCAGGCGTCGGAGACGGAGGACCTGTCCACAGAAGCGACGACGCAGGACGAGGACGAGGACGACGAGGAGGAACTCCCGGACGCGAAGCTGCCTGCGGCCCCGGCGAGAGGTCGGTGCGCCCCCGCGGGCTGCGGGGGGTGGGGGACTCCGGGAAATGCGGGCTGGCGGGCTGGGGGAAGTCTCTTGCGCCTCCGGGCGACTCGGGGCAGTGGTGGATGATCCTCTCGGCCGAGAGGAGAGGAGACGCTTCCAACCTTTAAACACGCGCGCTTGGCGAGGCGTCCACGGCGTCAACACAGACACCCCGGTGCCGCCCCGTTTCTCTTCAGAGGGACCGTAAGACAGTTGCTTAGGCTGCATTTTGCCCTCGGTAGATTTTCCTCCATGGAAGTGTCCAGGTTTACTCCACGGTCGGAGTCCTCCAGGTGTCGGTAACAACCCGTCCCTTCCCTCTGCCCCGCAGGAAACGTGCCCAACGAGAAGATCGCGATATGGCTCAAAGACTGCCGGTGAGTCCTCGCTGGCGCCGCTCGCGTCCTGGAGGGAGACCCACGTAGTTGGGACGCCCGAGCCCAGTGACTGGGGCCGCGGTCCCTGTGGGTCCCATGGCCGTTGTAAGCTGTAAACCGGACCGTGAGTCTGTGGATAGCTTGCTTCTTTAAGCGGTTAGAAATGGAAGTACTGTGACTGCTAATTATTTGGTGACCGTGTTACCTTTACAGTTGTTAGGACTTGAGCTCCGGTGCATGATTTTAGTTTGCATCAGAGATCGCATACCTAAAACAGATAATCACGGTATGCTCTTCTGCTTGCCTTGCTTTCGAAAGGATTTTTCACATTTCGTACAATATTTCATTTTGCTTTTGTTTTGACATCTCTACATCTGGCTTCCAATCATTTCCCTTTCGTCTGTGTTTTAGTTGAGTTTACTTAACTACAGTACACTAACTGGGTTTTAGGTTTTTTGTGTGCCTTAATTCTGTTTGGAGAGCTATTAAAACTAACTGTGTTCTTGTAGTTTACTTCTTGAAAATACATTTGTCAGATGGCGCTGGAATTCACGGAAAGGAAATAGAGCTTTGAAGGCATTCAGACTGCATAAATCTGTTTAATTACATGCTTTGGAAACTGGTAGAAACATGTTTGATAAAGTACAGAGGAGCTGAATCATATTGCAAGTCAATCTTACCACAATGAAATGTGCTTGTTACACATTTTAATTTTTTCCAATTTATTTGCTGCTTACAAATCTCATGTGAGGAATGTTGCTGTTTAACTTCATTTAAGATGTTTGCTTCTGCACGTATTTTTTGCCGTGTCATTTTGGGATTTTCTTCATCTTTTGTTCAAGTACCAGAGTTTACAGGGAGGGAAAAGTGATTCTCATAGATACCAGTTTATTTTTCTATCCCAAAGATAGATAAAATATTGGCCACTACTCTGGTGATGTCCTGTTTTGATGAATTGCCTGGAGCCTTCCTGAACACTCTTTATTACAGAACTCCTTAACCTTTATTGGGGTGTCATAAACCCTCTGAGATACAATGAAATATATGGACCTTCTCTCTATAAAGATGCACAAAAAATGTTTAGGAGCAAGGGAAGAATCACATTATGTTTATAATGTAAAGGAATTAAGATTGTATAAGAAATTATATGAAGTATCAGGCAGATCTCCTTGATTGTCTCAAGTATATAGTAAATAAGTGTATCTTTTAAGATAAATGCATTGGGCCAATGCTAGTATTTACCAGGACATATCATGTCCAAAAATTCCAAAAGTTTTATTGCTAATTTCAATTTATGTAGGCAGATTGATAGTCTGCTGCTCCCTTTTCTCAAAGGTTTCCTTTTTGTTCCCTGTAGTTGCACCTGTTCTGTACAAAGGTGGCATTCATTTGTACCTAGGAAAGCTAAACAAGTTTTTTAATGTTGGCTTTATTATCACAGATTTGACTTCTGGGATATATGCAACTGTAATCTCTTTTCTGTAACAATTTAGGATCCTTCCCAGAGTTGAGCTTTTATCTATTTTGTACATTATATACAAATGGTCTGAAGACAGCATTTTTCCTGGATTAGTTCTTTGTTTTCTCATTGCTGTCCATTTCCCGAGTAAAGATACCATGCTGTCTTTCCTTAAAGGGAATCTTTATTTTGATAACCATTTTTTTTTTTTGGCTAAGTGGAAACAATTTGCTTGAATTAGCAGCTAAGAAGGGACAGAGTTTTTGATAGAATTTGAAAGAGACCAGTTACAAGAGTGAGATACTTGTGTCAGGAAGGAGAATGCCAGTGCTATTCTGCTTGTTTGCTACTTTGTGTCAGTGCACAGACCAGTGAATACATCTACACAAGGACTGATACAGTGTTTTGTCCTAAGAACGTAGCCATCAAGAAGAATGACTTTTTCGATGGCATAAATTAGAGTTTTATGAAAACATATGCAAAAACTTAGCTCAGTTGTTTCATTAATATCTTTAAGGCACTAATTTTACTAAAGAAGGACTGATTTTCAAAGAACTGCCATTGCTTATATATTTGCAGAAAGTCAGTATTTAAGTGGTATTTCAATAACATTTAATTTGAAAACTGATATTTTATGTGAATCCTATATCTGATAGAATTTTAAACAGGTATACATTGTTATAGAAATAGACCTTTCAAAATAATCTGTTTCTTTAACACAGTTTTGAGAAAGAAGTGAAAAACATTTTTTGTGTTACAAAAGAAATTTCAGTTATCTGTGAACTACAAGAATGTGAAAAGGATTTTAATGATGGCTAGTTCTTAAGATTGGTTCTCAAGCCCACTTTTTAGTGATTTTCTTTTCAGAGTTAAATGAAGAATATATATATACTTTTTAGCTTAAAAAAAGAAAATAAATCTCCAGCTTACACACACACACACACACACACACACACACACACACGCAGTTGGGGTAAGGGAGTTGCCCAGTGATGCTCTAAAATGCAAGTGATAGTTTTAACAGATAAGGTTTAAGAAAACTGTTGAGCCTTATTTCTAACTAGAGTCTGACGTTTTAATTTTTTAAGGTAAAGATTTGCCCTTTTTTAATTCTGTTTTCTGTTTCTAGGGAGAGGACTGAGGGAAGTAGACATTTTCTTAATTCCTGTTGCCACTCTCTTTTTGTGTTCTTGTAAAGAAGCTGCCAGTTCATATCATTTGTAATTGTCATTCTTGCTCTTAATTGCTGGCAGATCAGATGTGTGATTAAATCATTCCTGGTAAACTGATTTGACATAGGTATTTGCTTAGTTAGTAGCATATTACTTATGTAATGCACTTGCATTCCTTGTGTGTTTGGGAGGAGAGTAACACTGTGATTAGAAGCTTGCTTAGCTATATAACCTTTTAAGTGTTAAGCTGTGCAGTGACAGCTCTCCAGACAGCTTTTGAAGACTAAGGCTTGTATGTTTATGTGGTTTCAGTACCCCTTTGGGAGCCTCACTGGATGAGCAAAGCAGTAGTACACTCAAGGGTAAGAAAAAGTTGCCTTTCCAAATCTGTTGTTTATGAATATCCTGCTTTGTTTGTTCTCTGAGTGAAAGTGTGTATGTATGTGAATTATAAAAGCAATGTTCATGTTTAAAATATGTTCTGTGATAGAAGCCAAAAGGGAGAAATCTTGTCAATAAACTTTAAAACAGTGGGAAGTTTAATTAAGCAAGTTACCAAACCTTTGCACAATGTGAAATTCATATTTTTATTGTCCCGGTTAAGGTATTGTAAAGACTAATTAAATATAAAAATGTGGTATGATACCATAAGGAAGATATATTTTGAGTAAGCTGCTAGATCCGCTGCAGTGCTGCATTTCTTTGCTTACCTTAATGAAATTGCCACACCTGAAATTTACCACCTGCACAAAACAGAATTCTAAAGTTCAAAGTACAACAAGAATGTGCAGGTAGTGGCAAGGCATATGAGAAAACATTTACACCAGTATCAGGAAAATCTAGCTCTAGCTCCTGACTTAATATAAGTGGTGTGAAAGGAATGATTGCTCCGGGATCTGGTTTTCCATGAAATTCTTGGGTAAGATGTTATCTATTGGAACAGATTCAAAGGCTTAAGTGTTAAATGACCTGTAGATCAGCTTCTAAGAACTTTACCTGGCTGCAAATCATGGTTTCTTTATGATAAAGTTTATACTTCCTTCTTGAAATTATATAATCAGAATAATTTCTGAGGGCATTCAGATCTGAAACACTTTACTGTATCTTATATTTTGTTTGGTGAGTCTGGTTTACGAAGACGATGATTTTACAGAGGGGTCAGGAAGAACGAACACCAGGATGAACCTTCTGATGTTTCTTTCAGGTGTGCTTGTGAGAAATGGAGGAAGTTTTGAAGATGATTTGTCACTGGGAGCTGAAGGTATGCTTGAGGAGAACTGTATTTTCATATAGTTTTACAATTAAAAAAAAAGAAGAGAAAGTTGATGTGCTTTTAGGTTTCAGGGTCCTCATAACTAAACTTAAAGGTCTTGAAAATGGCTTAGGCAATTTTATAAGGCCTTTTATATGTTAATAATCCAGTCAGCCCCTATAGGATACACACAAGAAAGGCTCTGAAAGACCATGTGAAATGTCCGTGTGTCTTCCTTGGACTTAACTGCTTAAAGGACCTGTTTGGAGGCAAATAGTGGTGATATCACTGAGGGAAGAATTATCCCACAGAAGGAAGGAAACTTAAATATGTGTATATGAGAAAATGAAGCTTAATTGTAAGTTTTCACAGATTATATAATCTTTTCCTGTGGGTTTATGATAAAGCTTTCCACAACATAAAATTAAGAGTTTATTATTTTATTATTTTACTGGCACTTTAAGGACATTTTAATATCCTTGATGGTTTGCTATTTGTAAATCAATCTGTATGATTTAGAACCTTCCAATAAATATCGAAATGTCTAGAATATAGTAGTTTTTACTATCACTATTAATATGCTTTCAAGGAATAAACTTTTTGTGAGGAGCTTTAGCTTATTGCTTTCCAGTCAGTACAGTTGAACATGTTTTCTACTCATTTTAAATGTATTTCAGTATTATTGTAAATAACACTTAGACATTTGCTGTCGTTTCTTTGCAATATGGAATTATTTTTTTTAAACTTAATTTTTTAGAGCAATTTTAGGTTCACAAAAAAATTGAAGGGAAGTCACAGAGATTTCCCATGTACTTCCTGTCCCCTTGTATATCGCCTCCCCCATTATCAATGTCCCATCCCCCCCACAGGGGTATGTGTGTTACAGTTGATGAACCTACGATGAAGCACTGTGATTACCCAAAGTGCATACATTAGGATTTATTCTTGGTCTTGTGCATTCCATGGGTTTGGACAAATGTGTGATTATATGTAGCCATCACTAGAATGCCATATAGCATATTTTCACTGTCCTAAAATCCTCTGTGCTCTGCCTATTTGTCTAGATTGAATGGTTGTATTTATAGGAAACCACACCATAAAAGGGTGTCCCAGGGAAGAATGGAGTTATAACTTTGTTTTACTGAAAATTATTTCAAAATTATTTTTATTCATTCAGTAAATATTTATTGGGTTGCTCTTTTTGTTAGGGAGCTCTCTGGTAATGTACAAATTGATAAGAAATTATCATGGCTTTTCCCAGATGAGAAATAAAATGAATCTGATGTGCTGAAATAGATGTTTTAAATTAATTTCATTCTTTATGCTTGTCTTAAAAGGTTAAATGAAGTAAACTTAACTTACTCTAAAATTAACATTAATGATGTTTACCTGTTTAGAACTTGTGAGTCTGTGATAAATTTGAAAGGCAATTTTTAAAAGAAAACTTACGTTGAAAAAAGTAGAAATTTTTTCAAGTGTGCACATTCAAAAGTGGTTGTAACTGGAGTGACTGTCCAGCATTAAAAACATCACATAAGAAATTGATACATACTGTTGTCACACTTAAATAATGCTGAACCATGTTTTTGCTTTCAAGATATTCTTTATTAACAGTTTTGACATTGAATAATTAAGTACACCACATGTGGTGTATACCTTCTTACCACTTATTTCTAAACTGTTAAAGAAGTTTGATAATCTATATATCTTTGTATTTAGACATTCAGTGGGAGTAGTTTTACATTCCCAACTCACAAAAACACCCTCCAAAAGCTACTGGTTCTTTTCTTATCAATCTGTATATTGCTATTAACGATGCAGATTTAATGAGTAAAGACCAGAGTTTGGCATATTAGGTATTTAGTAGTGATATTGTGGCTAACTTGCTTTCTTGATAATTGTATCACAGTAGTTACTGTCCTATTAACAATTGTATTCGAAATTTATTCTTTTTATCTGCAGCCAACCAACTTCATGACACTGATGCTCAAATTGAAAACGGGTATGGAACTGTGTTTGTTTTCTTCCTTTTCGAAAATGAAGGATATCTAGGAAAATAAGGTTTTACACAGTCTAATTTTGTTTACAGCAGTAATATCTTGGCCAAAGAGAGAAGACTACAGTTCCATCAGAAAGGGAGAAGTATGAATTCCACTGGCTCTGGGAAAAGTAGTGGGACAGTCTCAAGGTAACTCAGTATGAAATTATGCTGTAAGTGTGTTGTGGATAACGTACTCTCGCCACTTTCAAACTTGGATTTGGCTTAGTAGTATGAAATCCAAAGTGTTTCATGGTTCAGCATGATTGACAGGAGCTGCTGCTGCTTTTTAAAACATTAATACTAAATAAAAAGCAACAAATATGTTTATAGTGCTGTTGGAACTCATCAGTAAGTATTTTGAGACCTACTAACAATTAGAAAGAGGAACTCTGTAGTGGAGTGACTTCTTCCCAAATTCTTCATTCTGATGGGGTCTTGAGTTACTCTGACATAAAAATCAGAATAAACTTTTCTAATGTAAAGCTTGATATTTAAGCATAGACATTTTTTCTTCATACTAAACCAAAGCTCTTTAATATATATATATATAAGCAAATACAAGTGCCTCTGGAACCAGTTGTCCAAATTATTACATTAGAACCTGAGCATTTTATCTGAAACAAATAGAAATTTCCTTCTGTTCAAGTTCTATCTCTAATAGTCCTGTTTTTCTCAGTGAGTCTCAGCTTGCATTATCAGTGATATGAGTGGATGGATAGTAAATGTTCAATTCCCAAAGGCATTAGCATGAGAAGATACCTTCTGTCACCCATATCCACCTTACTCCTCCTACTTTCTGAGTGGAAGTGGTTAGGGAAACGTTGAAAGTAAGCTCCTCCCTTGCTTTCCTGAGATCAGGTTGTTGCCTATATTGCTCTCTGGGGACAGGCAAAGAGAGCAGAAAAGCTCAAGTTCTACAGAATGCCACTTGGTACCAAAGTTCTACCAGGTTCCTAATGTGTTTTCCCTTTTTCATTTTTTCTTTACTCTTTTTATTCCTATTTTTCTCCATCTTCCTCTTGTTGTTTTAGCTGCTTTATTGGGAATCTCTTAAAATGACAAAGAAAATAAGGTGAGGAATCACTAGAGAATCTCTTACTGAGTGTGTTCTTATGGGTTAGCTCTTTTTTCCAATACTGAGAAGCCTGAGAGAATGGACCTTTTTTAAGGGATTATTTATCACATTTAGTACACAGTGTAGAAAGATAAGGAAATAATGGTTGAAAGCTGTAGAAAAGGATTGTATCATAGTGATGCAGGAATATGAATTTATAAAGTAATGTGGAGTTATAAACTTATTTTCTATCTTATTGTCCCCCTACCCCCCGTTTTTCATAGTGTTTCAGAATTATTGGAACTTTATGAGGAAGATCCTGAAGAAATTCTTTATAATCTTGGATTCGGACGAGATGAACCAGATATTGCTTCTAAAATTCCACCCAGATTTTTCAGTTCATCGTCATTTGCCAGAGGAATAGATATTAAAGTATTTTTGAGTGCTCAGATGCAACGGATGGAAGTAGAAAACCCAAATTATGCCTTAACAAGTAAGGTTTTTAAATGTTAGCATATTGCTTTAAGAATTATAGCATCCACAGCAAGATGGTCTTATTTTGATAAAGCCTTACTAATTGCTAGGACTACCACTAGAGATTTGATATAGAGGTTATCACAATAGTTACTTTACTTGAAATTTTTATTATTTACCTATTCTTCCCCTCCCAAATTCTTTTTTAAAAGATTTTATTTATTTATTTTTAGAGAGGGGAAAGGAGGGAGAAAGAGAGGGAGAGAAACATCAGTGTATGGCTACCTCTTTCGCGCCCCCTTCTGAGTACTTGGCCCACAACCTAGGCATTTGCCCTAGACTGGGAATGGAACAGGTGACCCTTTAGTTCACAGGCCGGTACTCAGTCCGCTGAGTCACACCAGCCAGGGCCCAAATCCTTAAGTGTTACCTTACAGAGTGACACTTGCTACCCTTGTAGAGCAAAACTTACTTGTAAAACCTTAGGCTCATAGCTGTCTTCAGAGGACTTTTGTTCAAGAAGGAGAGAAGTCGGGGAAAGGCCTTGTTACTATTAAATGAAGTCAGTGTCAGTTGCTTTTCTGTAAATCTAAAATAGCATGGCTAATTTGGTAATTTTTATGCATATTATATCTTTGCTTATTTTTCTTTGTTGACCAGAAGTTCTAAAAATAGGATCTCTAGTTAGTCCTTGGATTAGCTTTAAGAAACCTATAAATCTACCCTACTCCCCAATTAAATGTAAAATATGTACTTCTGTATACTTTATTAGGAGAACATTTGGAGGAGACTTGGTGGAGTCCAAGGCCTTAAAACAGAATCACAGTCATAGATCAATTCTTAGTCCTTTTCTATTTTATTCAGTATTATTATGTTTTGTTCTTCTTTCTGATTTTTAAAACTAAATTCTAGTGCTTAGAGTGAAAAATCTTCTCCACAGTAAGTGCAGAGAAGTTTTAAGTGTTCAATAAGGGGAAAGCATTTGGCTTCATAATCTTTTTGATCTAAGTGCAGTCATTGGATGTTCTGAACAATAGTAATGGTTTTACATATAAGCATATAAAATTAACACCTTTGTTTTCTCTTGGTAGGCCGTTTTCGTCAAATTGAAGTGCTTACTACAGTGGCCAATGCGTTTTCTTCTTTATACTCCCAAGTCTCTGGGACTCCTCTGCAGAGAATTGGAAGCATGTCCTCAGTAACCTCTAAGGAGACAGACTCACCTCCACCTTTAACCCGAAGTAACACTGCAAATCGCTTAATGAGAACACTATCAAAACTAAATTTATGTGTTGATAAAACAGAGAAAGGAGAAGGTAGTAGTCCTCCCCCACCAATGGAAAAAGGAAAGATTCTGAATGTTTCAGTGAGTGAAGAAAGTGGCAGTAAAAATGATCAAAAGCCTCAAAAAGTTGTAAAGAAGAAGGACTCATCTTATATGTTGGCTACAGTTAAAGAAGAAGTATCAATTAGTTCAGCATCTATTATGGAGAATGCTGACATTGATAGACTTTCTGATGAAGCAAACAGTAATTTTAACCAAGAAACTGAAAGTGAACAAAGTAAAGAAACTCAAAGTGATGATAAATTGGGTGAGGAATCTGGTATTATGGAATCTGACTTACGTTGCAGTTTGAACATGGCTAGCCACAGTGAGCTGGAACATAGCAGTGAGGTGAAAACTGTTCAGATGTCCACAGCTGAAAAGGAGCCATGTGCTCCGCTGACAATCCCATCTATCAGAAATATAATGGTACAACAGAAGGACTCCTTTGAAATGGAAGAGGTAAGTAAAATGTCACTAAGACTTGCTTCAAATAGTAAGTTAGGAAGAAAGTGCCAAAAATATTTTAAAAATGAAAGGTGGCTAGTAGATTTATAGTAGGAAAAAAACCTTAATTTTGACTTCTCAGGTTTTTTGTTTTATGTTTCACAAACCAGTAAATGGTCACAGGAATATGTGAGGTCAAGGTCGTGGTACAGTTTATCAGTTCCTCTGGATCCTCTGTGGTCCACTTCTGATAGAGTACTTGAACTTTAACCCCTGTCTCTCAGTTTAAGATTTTGATGCCCAGAGAAAGTCCTGAGAGAATATTCATATTCAAGTCAATATTGCATAATAGTTAAAAACACAGTCTCTGAAATCAAACAGATTTGAGTTCTGGCTCTGCCACCAAATGGCTGTGTGCCTTTGGGCAAGCTTTTCTTAATGTATCTCAGTGCAGAGGGTAACTGTGAAGGAGACCTTGAGAGTGGGTTTCAGTATGGCACTAGAAAGAGCAAAAAGATAGGTACTCGAAGGGGAGGATACCTCAGGAAGGAGGTTTGAAAGGCCACTGAATTGGATTTCTGCAAGCTCAGAAGAGCAACGTTTGGTTGCTTTTTTCTTTCACCTTTGATGGTCCTGCTAGTTTATGTAAACTTTGAGTTGAACAGGATAAAAATAATAATTTTGATTAGGTTCATATAACACTGCTTTTGAATTGTGGGAACTGATTCTTGTGAGCTGGAGCTATATAGCTTGGGGCAGAAAACTCCACTTTATCAAGTACCTACCCTACCATGCGGCAGGCACTGTACTAGGTCCTCGAAGTACTTTTCTCTCTCAGTGTGGGAGGCAGGCCATGGCAGTCTCATTTTACAAAGGAGGAAAGTGAGGCATATATATACATATGCATATATATGTGTATTATTGAAGAGTTGTGGCTATAAATGTGCAATTTTTCTTTTAAAAATTTATTACAGAATAATTTTACCTAGCTCACAGGGGTTTTAGAATCATATGTCATTTTGTTAGAGAGTTGGAACATGGGATAGATAGTTGAGGCTGCCCATAAATGCCCTGTTAGGTGAGTGTGTGTCTTTCATCAGTGAAGATTTTTTACTTACTGCAAAATTTCAGTTGTTGACATAGCCATTTGCCTCTTGGAAGTCTTTTACTCTATCTTTTAATCCTTTAATTCCAACTAAAAAAATGAAACTAAAAGGGAGCTGGAGCAGCCCTTTGAAATATTTTACAGTAGTTTGGTAAACTTCTTTATTTTGTACATATTTTCATATTTTACTCCTTAATTCCTAATATATTATTTTAATGAATTCAGAAAATTACTACTTTAATGAAAACTCCTTTTTGTTTCACACCATTGTTCGATTTCTTTTTGACTCTGCTGTGATCAGAACTCGTCCTAGCGCTCACAGAAGTGTAACTGCTTGCCTTCTGTTAGGGGCCTTCTCTGTGACACTCAGATATGACCATTTATTTTTTTGTTTTAATACAATAGAGTATAAAAATTTAAACAGATTATGTTAGACTTTTGCAAATCTAATATCTGTGATTCAGATGAGAAGACAGTCTCTTATGCTTTTTAATTTCTAGAATTCCTGAAATCTATGGTGTAGTTTTAAAGAAATTATTGATACCATAAACATAAAAAAGGTCTTTAAAAGGTTTATAGAGTGCTAGATAGATGTGCTTTGGCCACAGTTGACATTTAATGACAGACTGGTCTTTTTTGTTTTTTTGGTGTTTTTTTTTTGTTGTTGTTTTTTTGTTTTTTGTTTTTTTTGTTTTTTTTTGCTCCCTCTGCTGGCAAAGAGCTCTTAATGAAAAGAAAGTAATGTAACATTGAACATTCTTTTGAGATACAAGAGTACATGCATTGGTGGTTGCAGAATAGTGGAATATTTTGTTTTCAAATAAAGGATATATGATCAACCATAGCTACGTTGTAAATACAGGGAATTTTAAGTGTGATGGATCCTGTTCTTCAGATATATTTGAAATGGATAAAAAGCTCCTAGCATTGTGTTTTATTCTTTTGAGAAACTTTAAAGAGAGCTTGTAGAACAATGGATAAAGAAGGGAAATAATGTGTTTCTTTAATTTCCTCTCCTCCCAAGCGTGGTTTGAATCATACTGACAAGCTAAGAGAACAATCTTACTGAAGCAAGCTATTAGATCCCATTCAAAGTGTTGTGACTGTTTTTCTTTTGGATTTTTTCCCTTGAGGTTTGATTCCTATTGGGAAATTTTCTTCTTGTAAAAACAGTGAATAAATATAAGTCAGAGTACGCACTCTCTCTCCCTCAGTAAGCCAGTTTGCAAACAGATTAACTGACTGCCAGCTGCTGGGAGCTAGGTAGGAGAAAATGTTGCAGACATGCCTGATGGAGCTGCCTGTTCCCTTTGAGGCAGAAGGTAAGATCTGACAGTTACCAGGAGCAAAGAGGGGAAATATTTATTGTAAGGAGAGTTAAACAGATGACAAGAATGACCTAGGCCTTGGAGAATGAAAGTGACTATTTGTTATGTTAAGAAAATGGAAAGGACCATAGACTATTTTCTACGAAAAGTCAGTTTACCTTATAAAAATGTCTTGTAGACCATTTAAAATGTCTCAGTGTGTCTAAAAGTTGTAAAATCCTACTCTTGAGTTTTCTAATTGTTAAGACTTGCCTGGATAATTCTTGTGTTTTTGAAATGGTTTATTTTGAATAAATACAACATGATGACGCTAGAGCCATAGATTAGTAGTATGGGCAATTCACAGTTAAACCAAAATGATTCTATTCATTAAGCAGTTCTTCTTTTAGGCATAATGGAAAAAGTTCTCATACTTAAATGGGAGAGGAAGGAGGACTTTTATCTGTACATTTTTGTAAATAGAGTGTTCTGTATCTCTTTATTCTGTAAATGAATTTATATTCAAATACAGATGTTATTGGAAGTATACATAAATTTTTAAGCTATCGGAGTTTTACTAGGTATTTCTAATTCCTGTCTTCACACTGATTGTTGATTTAACTAATGTACTTCATTACAGCCAGTCCTCGATTAACATCATTTTACTCAACATTGTTTGGTTATAATGTTGATGAGATGCCATAGGAACTTAACTCTTGTTTATATCAACTAGCTAGCCTATGGGACATTTGGTTTCGTTATACATCATTTTGCTTAAAGTTGCAGAACTTGTCAGCAATGTTAAATGAGAACTTACTGTACTTATTTTAGCCATTGAGTTTAAGGATTCCTTTTACTATATTTACTGGCCTGAGTTAAAGTGACCCTAAATCAATCAGTTATGTTGTGCCTTTGACCTTTCAAATTTAACTGTATGTGTTTTGAAGGCAAGTATTGTATCAGCAATAAAATATGAACTCTAACCCATGGCAATGTACCCATGTCTTCAAAGCCCAATTAACTACTAAGTTTTGTTATTCAATATTTAAAAGAGTAGGTTAGCTTTTTTTTTTAAAAAAAAAAGCATTTACCTAACAGTGAAAGTAAACCATATATGTGTATATGTGTTTTTAAAACTCGAAAGGTTCCTCTTTTAGATAAACATTTAAAACTAATTGTAGAATCATAAATGAGCACAGAATGAGTGCTTTGAGTTCATTTTCTGTTTTTTTTCCTTTGCAGATGAGAAAGCCTTTTTCCCTCCCTAACATTGATATTACATGACCGTTGTTCCCCATCACCTTTCTGAAAGTGGTTATGTTCCCTTTGATAGCGGTGCCTTACGGAAGGGAGGGGCCCAGGGAAGTCCCATAGGGAGTTCCCGGAGGGTGGAAGAGAACTGTTGTAGTTCATTCCCACTTTCCTGTTTCAAAATACTTTCAATAACACTCGATCTTCCTAAGGACCTGTGAGATTGGAATGTCACTGTTTATTTTGCAGTTAAGAAAACTGAGATAATATACAGACAATAAACGAGAAGTCATGTGATGGGTGCAGAGCCCATAGTACTCCTTTGGAAAAATCATGCTTTCCTCTGAATTTTTTTGAGATGTCATTAAATATTAGAACTGTAATTTCTAAAGCTCCACTTTTGATTTTCTTTTTAAAAAAACTTCTATACAGGTCTTTTTATACCTGAGAGGAAGAGTTATTTGAGTTAGAACATTGCACGTATTGTTGCTCTGTAAAACACAATACAATAGTATTGTGCCTAAAAGATAAATGTGACAGGTGTTAAAAAAAATACAAAGTATGTGTCTGCCATGGCAGCAGGACATTAGTTTCAAAAGTCATGGTCTTTGTTTTCTTAAAACATTTTTTTAAATGAAGTAATTCAAATATGTGGGTTACTTCTAAAGCTTTAAATCCCAAAACACTGAGACCAAGTGATTTTGTCATTTTGGTTTAGTGAGGGAGGGGCTTGAGGGGTTTTTCCTCCCTGTCATTTTTAGTTTCACACAATATAATATACAGATGATGTGTTACAGAATTGTACCCCTGAAACCTATATAATTTTATTAACCAATGTCACCCCAATAAATTCAATAAAGAATAAAAGTTTTACGCTTACACAAAGATTAGACAGTAATCTTTGTGTAAGATTACATAAAACAGTATAATGAATGCCCATTCGCTGTCACTCAGTTCTGTTTTCATTATTGAGCTATAGTTAATTGAATGAATGGTAACCGGTAGCAAATGACCAGAATTCTACCTGGAATGGAAACCATTGAATAGGGAAGATCATGCCACGTAAATATTAAATTCTGTGTTTGTGTCATAATTTTCTGTTGTGCACCCCATGTCAAATATGACTGCTTTCCTTTGCACATCTGTGACTAATAGTAAAATGTAATCAGCTATGAAATTTAGCCATTATCACCAGTGTGTCTGTTTCTGCCTTCCACAAAGTGATTGATGATTTTGCTGAATAAATGTGCAAAAGGATCCTGACTTTAATGGTTTTATTAGTAAAATATGACACTTTCTTTTTTTTTTTTAAGGGCCATTTTCGTTCAATTAGTTAGGGGGTTTGTGGTGAAAGGAGAGAGGGAATAGAGCGATTGATATGTTTTTTTCTGCCATAGAGAAGCATCTTGACGTATACTGAGATAAATATTCATTCAAGTCATGGGGTTTTTGTTTTGTTATTAATTTTGTAAATCTAAGGAACAAATATGTGATAAATCTGTATTTAAAAATGAGAGTTTATGATTTGCTGTATCATCATGCTGTGCCTAAATTGAGATTCCTAGAATATAATTAGAGACATTTATATTTGTTTTATACTTTTTGGTCTGTTTGATATTTACTTTATAGAAAACACTTTGAAGTAGGGTAGGCCTAAATAGAGACTAATAATAGACCCTTTGTTGAATATAAAAAGAAAATGCATTTTGTTTCCTTGCACGGAAAACAATGGTTTTCCTGTTGAACTTATGTCTGCTGCTTTGAAGAATATATTATAATGTTTCAGTAACAAAGAAAAATAGAAACTATTTTATATGTGATTTATAGGAGATGGTTTTAAATGATTAGTGTGCTTTCAGTTTTAAATTTATAAACTTGGATTCATGGAACTGTTTAGAATGAAGACATCACAAATCAGATCAGGTTTTAAATTAGGTAGTAGCACATTTAACCTCTGAGCTTTTTTCATGTTGGTCATTCCAGTGTCACTCATATGTAATATTTCTTACTCTTGAATGGATTCATAGCTCAGAACTACCAGGGTTTTACCTAAAACCTGTTTGCTAACTGCTCTGATTTGTTCAAGATTGAAATCCCATATATTTGGCTAGTTTGCCCTCATTACTAGGATTTTATTTATTATATTAAGTACTAATCATTACAGGGTGTAAACTGTTGGGAATTAGTATTCCCCCCACCAATGGGCCTGTGTTCAATCTTAATATAGAGTTAGTTGTGTTAGAAAAGTTATGAGTGTTTGGAGGGTGGGTGCGGTGAATAAGGAATCTGAAAATTCCTTAAGTATGTAGTTGTCCAGGTGGGGGAAAAAATGACAGTGTAAAGAGACCGCTTTTGTGGATTTGATAGCTTCTTTGGACAGTTTTCAGGGAGGAATTATGGTTAAGGATCTTTCAACCTTTTCATTCTGTAATGAAACCTGCTTTTCCACTTAGAACTCCCAGGTTATGTCTTGAAAAAACAATTATGTCTGGACAAAGAAGACTTACACACAGGCAATTTTGATCCCCGAAAATTTGTGGGATATCATAGAATTTTGCAGCGTGAACGTGGTGTGCCCTGTTTCAGAGATGCAGGACTCTCACTTGCCTCCGCCGTGTGTCGGCCACCCTGGTGTGCTGCAGTGAGCCAGTCATCACTGCTCCAGGGACTGGCCTTGTGCATTGAAGTTCAGCATTTAGGGAAGAACTTTTCTTATGGGTCTTCGTTTCATATAATAGCAACTGTTTTTTAATGAGGTAGTTTATACATGTAGTCATTTATTTTTCCTAGCTGCAAACTTGCATTCCTGCTCTTCACTGGAAAATAGATTTGGGGCGTTCTAACAATTTTGAGATACGGTGTCTTGCAATTTTGAAATATATGAAACTTTGGTACTCTTTCAGTTAGGTTGGCTTTTTTTTTAAGAAATGATTATCAAGAAGTATTCTTCTCCGTAGATTCTTTAAGTTTTAATTACTTAAAACTCTTCTTTAGGTTCAAAGTACAGAGGGAGAAGCTCCTCATGTTCCAGCCACTTACCAGCTAGGTCTTACTAAGTCAAAAAGAGGTAAGTAGACCAGTGTCCACCAGAGCCCAAGCACATTACCAAAGTGTTATCAGTTGGTTTGGAAGAGGGATTTTACCCACCAGTATTTGTAGTACATAAAAGTGTAAAAAGACAGTTAACGCAGGTCTGCATGCTTCATTATGGTTTGGTTACAGAATTTTTTTGCATCCTTGAAGACTTTTGTGCTCAAAGTAATTTTAGTCTGCTTATCCTCTAATGACCTTGTCACACAATTCTGTGTACTTTAAATACTTTCCAGTTCTGCATAGGGCTAGATGGGAAGTGATAGAAAAAGCAGCAGATTCAAGCCGATGTTTTTACACGGTTATGATTAAAATATACACTTGTATTATCTACGCCTGGGCTTTCATTATTTAAATATGGCTCCTAGGTGTGGTGCATGAATATGCCTCTGGCAAAAAACACCAACATCTCAGCAATAGTTAACGCTAGTTAAATTGAATTCAAACTATGGATCAAAGGTGAATGGCTGTAGATGTCTTTCTTCTTTTGAATTATTAATTATTGACCAAAGGACCTTTGAATCCATTTCTTTCACTTTTAATTTATAATAAGAAAAGGATGTCCGATCTTCTTTAAAGTCACAAAGTTTTGAGATTTAGAGAAAAGGAGAGAAAGAAGTTAAAATGACCACTGAAGGTAGGACTGTTTATTTTTAAAACTTTACACATGCTGAACCACCCTGTTTTTTTAAGCAAAGATTCATATGTATGTTCCTAGAATAGGAAATTACATGTTTGTTTTCTTCTGATCTCTGAAATGACTTCATAAGAGACAATTTGCATGTAATTTTTCTTTTATTGCAATATGGTAGTAAGAAACATGAGCTGTGCTTACTAGGTGACCACAGTTCTCATCAGACATACAATGAAATTTGCTATTTACTTTTTCTCTCCCTGTAAGTGCATAAATACATGTACGTGTTTCTGAGCTGTAACGCAGAGTTCATAGCCATCAAGGAATCTTGGCTTTAGATAGGTAGTCAAGGGATATGTTGGAAAAAGCAGATCGCCCTGTGTCCAAAGGGGTAATAGTATCTTGGTCATTCCACTCTTATGTCTGTAGACTATTTCTTATTCTTGAATGGATTCATAGCTCAAAATTTCCAAGATTCTACCAAAAACTTGTTTGCTATTTGCTCTCTGATTTGTTCAAGGTTGAAATCCCTTACATTTGACTAGTTTGTCCACGTTACTTGGATGTGGGCAAATTTTATACATTTAAATAAAAGCAGTATAATTGCTTTAAGATATTTCAAGCATAAACTTTCTATAGGAAAGATAGAATGTGGTTTGTATTCACATCTGGGTTTCTTCCTCTTATGGTATAGGGTCTCGTATTTCTGGTGGCAGAAGTAAAAATGTTAACGTTTTTATGAATCACACTTTTATAAATTAATAGTAAAATGGTTTTATGAGAGAGGGAAAGAGAACAATGTAGTGTTTTAATCATTTTTGAAGGTAGCCATCAAATTTTGATAATGCAAATATGTATCTTAGATTAATCATAATTGCAGAATTAGAATAATTGGCAATGTATTTATTTTACAACTTTAGTAAAAATACGTAAAGTGTAGGTGTAAAAATATTTTACACTGTACTGGTAGGACTTTTGAAATTAGACTGATTTTAACCTGAAATCCTCCACACTGAGGCCCAGAACAGTTGAGTGGCTCAACTCATGGCACAGCCACCATCTTGGCGGATGTTTGGAGAGCAGTGCAACCTTGTCCTGATTACAGAGGAGAAACAGTGTTTTCTTTATCAGAGTATACAGGTGTTCTGTTGTGTTTCTTTATGTTTCTGGTAAAGTAAAATTTCCAGATTTTGTTTTGTTCTAAGTTTAATTGGTTTGCTCTAACTTCCCTGTTTTTAGTGAGAAATGTCTTCTCTCTTCAGCCAGGACAGAGGTCTGTTTCTTTTTAGTTCCACCTTTTTCTGTGAAGAACAGTGCTTTTTGTGAAACTGAAATAAGTGTCTAACTAGAGAACCTAGATTGTGATTTACAGCTCACAGAATAGTTTTACCTGTACTGTGCCTAGTTTCTAAAGTGAGCCTGTGAGACAGAGAGGAGAATTATTATGCTGCTTTGCAGAGGAGAGAAGTGATTGCTTACAGAAATAAAGCAGGAACTTGAACCCAGGCCCCTGTGTTCTTTCCACTGCTCGACACCTGCTTTGAAGTCTGGGCAGTGTGCACTCTGACTGAACCTGTGTGAACTCAGGGCTGACCACAGAGAGGGGAACTCAGCACGCACTGCTCCACTGCAGATCAAACGGGTCTTAGCAGAGAGGACCTGAGCACAGCTGGTCACTCAGGCTTCCCTGGACTCTCTGGCAGCTTGCCTTTTGCCTGACCAGATAGGAAGTTTCACTGCTAAATCCTTTAAGTGATTGCATAATGCTGTTGTTTCTTTAAGGAGAATAGTTATCACTGATTCATTCAACAAGCATTTTTTATTATTAGCTTGTGCTAGATACTGGGATACAGAGAAGAATAAAGAAGGCCCCTGTCTACAGAATGCTCACAGTGTAGTTAAAAAAAAAAAGACATATACATAATTAAGGTGATTTGCTGTAACATAAGATGTTACTCCTTTTCTTAGTTAATATAATGCATAATTAGTACCTCTGGTAACTAACTGGTTATTCCAGTTCAGTTTCACAATTACTCCAGTCTGCCTAGATTTATCACAGATATGGATCAATTTCTTATACTTTTATTAAGCAGTCTTAACTTTCAAATAATATTACAGAATTATTCTAAATTATTAATGAGAAAAAAATTACTCCATTCCACGATGCCCTAGGTTGAAATTGAAGCTTTGGTTTGATGTTTTTCAAAGTCAGGCAAACTTTGATTGATTTTGGATTTTATTCAAACCTATTGTAGAGTTTGTTATTTCTATCGTTCAACTCTTAAATGAATGTGGATTTGGTAACACACTCTATGTAGCCTGTTGCTTAGGAAGTGCTGCAGAACTTGACTACCCCATGAAGCATCTCCCTTAGTCAATGTAATGGGTGTAAAGCCTCTCCCCTGTGGTACTGGGAGTGTGGATGGGTGTGTGATTATGCATGCAGTGCTCGGTTGGCCTTTATACAAACTTAACAATTTTGTTTTTAGGTTATGCTAACTGGGAATTAGAGTTTTGGGACCAAAAACTATTCAGGGTTTTTATAAGATTAACAATATTATATAATGGTTGAACCTGTTTGAGTTTTATGCAGTTGTTATGAAAAAATTGTCTCGTAATTTAAAAATGTTTGTATCATTTGAAACATTAGCAACATTTCGGTACCCTTGCACACAAATTATTTAACTTATTAGTCTTAATTATATTTTTATTTTTTTATTAGCAAGGTAATAGAAGTTTCTATATACTACATTTAAAGTTCTAATTTCACCTATTCCATATTTACATATTTCTCTCTAACACATTTACATAATGGAAATGATTTATTTTGGGACTTTTATTTTATTAGGGCCATTTTTTATTTCCAGCAGTTGTCCTCCAAGGATAAGACATTAATTGAACTGACCAAAATACAGTATAGTTAGAGCTTAGTTAGCAACTGAACATGGAGAATCTCTGATAGGTCCAATTCAGTTTTTGTTTGAATTTGACTTAACTCCTGTGCTTTGAACCTATAATTTTGCATAAGTGATGCATATTTTTCTGAGACAGAATCAGTGTTTTGTATGCTATGTCTGTTATGTTGTTCTCATTAGAGTCATATTTAACGGCATCATGTAACTGTTTCCTTGGCAGAGCATCTGCTACGTTCCGCGAGTCAGCATTCGGACAGCAGTGGTTTTGCTGAAGACCCCACAGACTGTCTCTCCCTTAACCATCTTCAGGTAAAAAGCTCTGTTGTAGAGGCACTGTGACTAATGGCTTCATATTTAGGCAGTTTTTTTAGTACACATGTATTTCAAGACTGATTCTGTGATATCTTTATTTTTCAAATGAAAATAAGAATAAATATTTTTTCTGGGATTCAGACTTAATCTAAGTTACAAATTTTAGATTTCACTAATTCTTGCTCTCTGACTTGATATTTTTAAAAACAGCAAAAATAAAAACTTCCTTTATTTTTGGACCACCAGTAAGCAGGTTGTTTCAATCATTAACCTAATCTGTTATTTTTCATATTTTTTAACCTTCATTCTGTTTATAGTGTTTTTCAATAGTTGTGAATAATAACTAACATTAAGTATGAATCCATAGCTTACTAATTATTATATGGCTTTTCTCTGAGAATATGTTAGATAACCTAGAAGTTAAACAAATCTTTATTCTCAGGGAGACTATAATCTGTGTGTGCAGTACACAGAATGTGTATGAAAAGTGTTCAAAACAACTCTATGCAGATTTTAAAGAAAATTGGATAAGAGAAAAAGATCCCCCCAAAGAGTCCTTAGAAACAGCATTAAGGTAGACATATAAGAAATGTCTAAGGAGACTCAGAAAGAATAATTCACTGGGCAGAAACACTGGGAGATGGAGGAGAAACCTTTCAAAGGAAAATTATGACCATTGGAGTGCAAAGGCGAGGATGTGGTGGTTTGGAAATCAAGTAGTTGAACGAATGGTTCTGATGGATTAATGAGGCAGGAGCACGATTGGACAGTACCAGATGGCAAGGAAGAGAAGATAGGAATGCTAACTGTTTTTTCAAGGAAGAGTGATAGCTTAAGGGTGACAGGTCTTTTTGTGTTCATATAGCAGTGATTTAGGGAAGGAACCCTAAGAGAAGTGAGTTGGATGCAGAAAAATCTGGGATGAAACTTGGGGAGATACCCGAGTCCTGGAAGGACGTGATCAGAAGGACATGGTTGGAGGGATTAGTTCTGAAAAAGGAGACAGTTTCCTTTTCAGAATGTAGAGGAGGGAATGATGGGAAGTGATGGGGAAATTGGTAGGTGTTGGGGAAGAAAGTTAGCAATTTTTGTCTATTTTTTCTGAGTCAGCGTCACGTGTGGGAAGAAAATGAGATAGATGTTGACAAGGGAATTTAAGGAGAATAGTAAAGGTCTAGAATATGTGCAGTGAGACAGTGAAGAGGTCGCTGACCAGGGCAGTGAAGCAAGTCTTGGCCAGCACCAGGCTCACAACAGAGGTGGGAGACCCTAAGGGTGTAGAAATGGTGTATCTCCCTGGCATTTTGTCGATGATACTTATTTGAATTTCTCATCCTTCCACCTGTTTTTCTTCCATAGGTTCATGATTCCTTGCAAGCCATGGGGAGTAGTGCTGACAGTTGTGACAGTGAGACGACAGTCACTTCATTTGGGGAAAACCTTGCCACACCAACAGTACACGACCAGCCTTACTTTAACGAATCAGAGGAGGAGTCTCTCATTCCTCTCCAGAAGGGAAGAGAGGTGGCAGCAACAGTTGCTGAGGAGAGAAGGTCAGATAGCCAGGATATCCCCCAGTGTGAGACTGTGGAGAATGCAGGAAATAAGCAGTCCACCTGTAGTGCGGGCGATCAGGTTACCAAAGTTTCTGAAATGAAAGAGGATTCATCTCCAGCACAGCCAGAGGAACTGCTGAGGGAAGCAAGTGCTGAAAGTGACATGGATAAAAGCGTTGACTGTGAATTTGTCCAGTATACCACACACCACATTCTTAAATCATTGGCTTCTGTTGAAGCTAAATGCAGTGAAAAGGGCTCTGAAAGTGTCACTGGGCCTCCCTCTTCTGTGGACAGAGTTAATACAGCTTTGCAAAGAGCTCAAATGAAGATCTGTGGTCTGTCTAATCAAAGAGTTGGGCGTAGCTTGATAAAATCTAAAGACCTGTTAAAAAAGAGATACTTACTTGCAAAAGCTGGCTATCCTCTAAGAAGGTCTCAGTCTTTACCAGCCACCTTATTGAGCCCAGTAAGGGTTGTGTCCTCTGTCAATGTTCGATTGTCCCCAGGAAAAGAGACCAGATGCAGTCCACCTTCCTTCACCTACAAGTACACACCTGAAGAGGAACAGACATTAGAAAAAGAAGTGATTGAGCCTGATGGTCAGTCTTCAGTTAAATCCACTATTTTCATCTCTCCGTCCTCTGCCAGCAAAGAAGAAGCCCCTCAGAGGGAGGCGAACCAGTTGGAGGAGTGTCATCATCGAAGGACTCCTCCTTGTTCATTGTATGTTCCGGCACCTATATCTCAGTCCACCTGCTCCCTTTACTCTGTGCACTCGGAGTGGCAGGAGCGGCCCCTGTGTGAGCACATGAGAACTCTGAGCACTCGGAGTGTCCCCAACATATCCGGCGCCACCTGCTGTGCCTTCACCTCCCCTTTCGGGTGTTCTTACTCACATAGACAAGCTTCCTACCCTTCCCGAGCAGGTTCTGTGAACCCCCCTTCTACCATCGAAATGCAGTTACGAAGAGTATTGCATGATATTAGAAATTCACTGCAGAATCTATCACAGGTATGAGACAAAGCGTATTTTTCTTAATGTTCCTTTTTTTTTTAATCAATCTGAGCACCTCTTCATTTCCTGAGAACCTAAGGCCCATTAGATATGAACTTCCTCAGGTTCATTTTCTTCCATGCCTGAAGTCATCTGTGTCTGCCCTCCTCCTGTACTCCTCCCTCCTGTCTCAGGAAAGACTGTAACTAATGCTGAATGAGGTTAATCTCTCTGTTTATAATCTCCCTTGTAGAGAAGAGACTTTTCCTTTAGGTATCCTCCCTTTAACCTCTGCTCCATTCTCTTTGCCTCGGTCAAGTTGTCCCTATTATTAAAAAGTCTTCCCTCTCAAGTACTTTCTCTCCTTTTCTCTGCCGTTCGACAGTGTGCAGCACCTCTTCCTTTCTAAGCGTTCTTCCCCTTGGCTTCAGTGTCGCGGAGCTCAGGTTCTGCTCGTAGCTCTCTGACTAAGCTTTCCTCTTCACCTACTGACTCCTGATGCTGTCTCCTGGCACAAAATTAGTCTGCTTCCACTGGGTTCAAAGGCTGAAACTACTCCAGAAAAGGAAAAAAAAAAAAATCAGGTAAAATGTGAATTTGAATAAAAATAGTCCATGTATCTTGTCACTTTTAAAGTCATTCCTCTCCACTGTTAGTGGGCTGGAAAAAATTCCCCCTAAAAAGCTTTGAAAATGAGTAAATTGTTCTTAGGTTCCCTTTCATATTTTACGTTTCTTTTCTAACTCTCTTTCTAACTACTTATGTTTAGACAGTTAAGGAAATGAAGAAAATGGCAGTGTAATGCAATGATCAGAGAGTTCAGCTAAGAGTAAGGAAGCCTTGAATGTGTATAATAGATGTCTTATCATGATGACAATAGACAGGAAGCCACTTTGAAAGTAAAAATTAAAGTTACAACTCTTTGAGTTATGTAGTAAAATATAGCTTTTTTTAAATATAGATTTTTCCTCATGACAGTTATCTCCTGATTTTCAGTCTAACCAGAATGTGGGTGTTTTTCTTCCTCTTTACAAAATTTAGTTTTATCTTTGAGTGAGACATTTAACCTTTCAACTGTAATTGTGTGAAGCTGGGGATTCCCAGGGTCTACCTGTGCCTTTCTTTCTAGGCCAGCTTGTTGTTCTGCTCTAGGTGTGGTCTTGTCCTCTTGGACGTCCCACCAGTGACTCAGCTAATTAATTTCCATGCCTCCTCTCAATAGACAGGTGGTCTCCATGACCTAGGCTCTGCCTGTCTTTCCAGACTTACTGCTTGTGCTTGTGCTCCAGCCGTGATTGGACTGTGTGCAGGCCTCTAAATAGTTGTGCTTGCCTAGGTGTCTGTTTTTACACCTGGTGCTTTTTTTTTTTTTTTTTTTTAACCGGGAATGCCCTGCCCTTCTTTGCCTGACCAAGTCCTGTTTACAGTTAGGGCTTAGCTCAGGCATCAGCACCTCTGGGAATACATACTCCCCTAACCTGGATTTTTGTTTGTTTTCATCATAGCACTCTCCTTCACCCCAATATTGTAATAATTTTTTAACTTCCCTTTTATTTTTTTCTCACACTGTGAGAACACTTGAAGGCTGGGCATGCCTTTCATCTTTTTTCTTCATTGAGTAAAACAGTGATGCCATAGATGCTCAAGTGACCGGGAATGAGTGCGATGATTCATTGCTGCCCAAGTCAGCAGTTCTGTTATTTCAGAATGATTTTGAGTTTTATTTTTCTACTTTCTCAAGGCAAGAGGCAAGTCCTAGAAGACATAGATGAATTATGTATGTTTCTTTGCTTCAGCCTTGTTGCAAATAGACTGACTTATATCTGGAACAGATAGGAGTAGTAGGTAACAAGAAGGACTAATTTATTTAGCTCTTGCTTAACTACAAAGTTTTCTTATGTTTTTTATCATTATTTTTACCTCAAAGAGAAAGATGAAGACCTCAGTTTCCATCTTTTTAACACTTTTAAGTAATTTGGAAGTAGTCGCTGTAGCTTGGATTTGTAACCATGCTTTTACTTTTTTGAAGTACTCTATGAGAGGACCTGAGCTTGCTGCTGCTCCGTATAGTGCTCAGAAGTCATCCGTTCTACCTCTTTATGAAGTAAGTTCTCACTTAAGCCATTGTGTCACAGAATGATTTGAATGATTCCTCAGTGTAATTTTGTTGTATTGTGTTTTAGAATACTTTTCAGGAGCTCCAGGTAATGAGGCGAAGCCTGAATTTGTTTAGAACGCAAATGATGGATTTAGAATTGGCAATGCTGCGTCAGCAAACCATGGTTTATCATCATATGACTGAGGAGGAAAGGTAAAAGTTCATTTTGTCTCATTGTGACTCAGTATTTTTTATTCTAGAAAGCATTGTCAACTTTTTTTATAGCTAGGTTTTATTTCTACTGCTGGGCACCCTTTACCTGTTTTGTAAACTGGTGTAAATAAAATTAGGAATAGTGGTTTGCTACGTAAACTTCCCTGCCTTCAGTGTGTTAAGGAAGACAATGGCTGTCAGTTGTTTTTAGTGTTTGGGATATTTGTGAGAAAGGGTAGAGGGAGGAACACCAGTTGTCCTGGTGGTCACACCCACTGCAGTTGCTGTTGTGCCCATTTGGAGAACTTGTATTCTACCACTTTCTGGTGACTGCTGAGAGGGTCGTGCCAGAACCCCGACCACTTGATTCTAACTCTGTGTCTGTCACCGTGCCAATAGGTATGAAGTTGACCAGCTCCAAAGTTTACGGAATTCAGTCCGGATAGAACTTGAAGATCTGGAAGTGCAGCTGGAGGAGCGGTTGCTGGGCCTGGAGGAACAGCTGCGCACCAGGCACAGTCCTTTTTCCTTCCGCCCCGCAGCGCTGGCGGTAAGTGGGTGCCCTGGGCGCTGTCATTGTCAGTGAGGGTTTTACAGTGATCCATAGGATTTAAAACAAATGCCTTAACTTAGAAACTTATTTTAATGGCATTAGAGGCACACAGAATGTTTAAGGAGCCTTTCCCCCAAATCAGTTGAATGTACATGTTGTTATGGTCTTAAATATTTAGTGTATTTAGAAGTATATTGAAAACTTTTAATCATAATTTTTAGTAATAGAGAATAAGAAGCAATGCAAAAGTTTAAGGGTTTTAAAGGAAGATGATAGTGGATTACTGTATCACATTTAGATTTTAATTACTGTATGTAATTACAAAGAACACAAGTATATATTTTCACTTCTTTTCCTTGCTTTGAATAAATGTTTCCTTAAAGCTTTCCTTTATTTGGGATTCTCTTCATTATGCTTTTTAAGGAATCAAATGGGATCTTTGTAAAGGCAGAAAATGTGTACCATCAAGAGCATAAAAAGAAACACTGTTTATACTTATAAAAGTACTACTTTTTTTTTTAAAGATTTTATTTATTTATTTTTAGAGAGGGAAGGGAGGGGTGGGGGAGAGAGAGAAAGAGAGAGAGAGAGAGAAACATCAATGTGTGGTTGCTGGGGGTTATGGCCTGCAACCCAGGAATGTACTCTGGCTGGGAATCGAACCTGGGACACTTTGGTTCCCAGCCCGCTCTCAATCCACTGAGCTACGCCAGCCAGGGCAAAAGTACTACTTTTTTATACTTCCCATGTGCCTTTCGATAAAATGTGAACTTCAGTACTTGTATTCTTATTTTTGCCAATATTTCTGCAGTTGTAAAATGTACTGTTTTGAAGTGTTGACAGTGAATTTTCCTGTTACCTGAACAACATACTTGATTTTGTTATAAGTAAATGGGTGGTCACACACACACACACATATGTGCACATATGGAGTAGACTCAGTAGAATAGAACTGAGTGTGTGTGTGCACATAGGTATGGATAGCAGAGAATACGAATGTCCTGTATTGTTAACGACTGTCTTTTTCCACGAAGGTTTTGGCTCGTCATTCTGAGAAGTGTGTGTCAGTGACAGCAGGTGCCATGCACCTTCAGTCACAACAGCATATCTTATTGGGTCCCATGACAGTTGAGAGTGGCCTTTGTGACATAAAGGAATGCTTCGGGATCATAATTAGCTAATTTATTTTATTATAAAACAGCTTTGGTTTGAAAAATGAATATTCATAGACACATTCTTTCTTTTTCAGGGAATGTGCGGCAGTAGAAGCGCTGATAACTTGTCGTACTCTCCTCCATTGAATGTAATGGAGCCAGTAAGCCTCTCTATCCTTTTAAATCACTGGGGACGGGAATGAGACATTTTATAAACACACAGCTTTCCTAGTGTAGATGAAACATTTTTTTTTAATACAGAATTTGATGCATTATTTAAATTGATTGGAAGTGAGTTTGGCACTTCTGCAAGTCCCTTGCCACGTTAGACCATTAGAAAGCCAGTAAAGTGCATAATTGACTTATCTTATGGCCTAAAGGAGATACTGCATCATAAAAAGTATTTAAGTTTTACTTCTGGGAAAATGTCCTTTTAAGTCTGGTTCTGGGTGCTTTAGGTACTTGGATCTATAAGATGACTACTTTTTGAACAAAAGTCTGGTTTTTATTATAAGTTAAGCAAATTTGTTTGGGGACAAAAGCATTTTAAGTGGCTATTTTGTTTTTCACCACTCTCTTATAACTAATTTGGACACCCATGTGATAACAAGTAAAATTTCATCCAACTAGATATTCTAGTTACACATTTTATGGCTTGATCTCACTATGAATTTAAAATTTCTTTGCTATTGCAAATGAAATTGAGTAGTTACTAGCTGAATGAATTAGAATCATGTCTTTACAAGGAAGTGCCTTTTAGCAATACAGCTAGGATTTTTTTTTTTTTTTAACTATCCATCTTAATTTCAAGAGAGAAAATTACAATTTTTGTGATCTCCAGGTCACTGAACTGATGCGGGAACAGTCATACCTGAAGTCTGAACTGGGCCTTGGAGAAATGGGATTTGAAATTCCTCCTGGAGAAAGCTCAGAATCTGTTTTCTCCCAAGCAACATCAGAGTCCTCTTCTGTGTGTTCTAGCCCCGCTCATGCTAATAGAAGAACTGGGATACCTTCTAGTGACTCAGCACACAAACACAAGGCCCACAGGGTACCACGCAAGAAAGTATTCCGAGCATCAGTGGCCCTGACACCAACTGCTCCTTCCAGAGCAGGCTCTGTGCAGACGCCTCCAGAAATGGAAAGTTCTGAGGAAGTTGGAGCAGCTGAAGAAGCCTCAGAGGCTGTAGGACCTAAACCTGAAGTGGAAGAAGGGTATGCAAAAACCCCTTTAACTCCAGCTGCTGAAGAAATGCATAAAAATGTGGAGCAAGATGAGTTGCAACAAGTCATACGTGAGGTAAGTAAAATCCATGCTTAATGATTTATTTTGTGATATGTGTTGGAGGAGGTTTTATTTAAACATTATTTATAAGATATTCCTTTGAGTCATTGTATTCAATAATTTTAAGAGAGCTTTTAAATTAGCCTTCTCTTTGTTCCTGCTTATGTCTATTAAGATTTTAAAAAATATTTGTAATAACATTTCTGTAAATTTCATAGTACAGTGAAATTTCACTTCTGTATTACTCACTTTGGTGAAGAGGGGGTTTGTAGATTTTGAAATATATAAACACATGAAAACTGTTTAGATCTCTGTTTCCATATTTATATTAATGAGGGGTTACAATTTAAATATCTTCCAGGATCTTATAATGTCAATTGGCATGAGAAAAGGGTGTTGTCACTTTAAAATGTGTCAATAATTTGATCTGTTTGATTTCATGGGTGGACAAATATGGAAATCATATGAATTGCTCAATGATAGAAATGCAGAATGAAAAGGTTTACCCTGGAGGATAGATAGCACTGTGCAAACCTGAAACATTTAACCGTAGTTCTAGGTAACCAAAGGACTACAAAAAATTAGGAAGGTGAGTAGTAAAAGATCAAAATTTAAGAAAATTAGCAAAGTATTTGTTTTTGGCACTAAGATCAGGTAGTAAGAACAAATAGTATATATGAGGTCTGTCTGGAAAAAGTCTAGCCATTGTTAATATAATGAGAATGGTTTGCACAACATAGATGTAGCCTGGCAGCCAAGGAGAGTGGACTGGAATGTGCATGAGTGAATAATGACGACTTCATTGCACTAGTCAGTGGGGGTGGTAGACACTGTTGAGTGAGCACATGTACTGTGTGGCCATTCACATTCAAAATGACTGAGTAAGTAGAGCAACGAATCTGCATCAAATTTTGCGTCAAGGTTGAACATTACTTTGCAGAAACTATTTGGATGATTCAGAAGCCCACAGCTATGGGCAACTGGTGATTGGCCACTTTATCACGACAATACGCCTGCTCATGCATCATGTCTTGTGCAGAGTTTTTTGGCAAAACACCAAATCACTCAGGTGACTCAACTCCCCTACAGCCCAGATTTGGTGCCCTGCTACTTCTGACTTTTCCCAAAACTAGAATCACCTTTCAGAGGGAAGAGATATTAGACCATCAGTGAGATTCAGGAATATATGAAAGGGTAGCTGATGGCAATTGGGAGAACTGTGTGAGGTTACAAGGTGCCTACTTTTAAGGGGACTGAGGCATCATTGTCCTATGTATCATGTTTCTAAGTACCATGTATCCTGGATCTTTTTCAGTAAATGTCTTTTGCATATTACATGGCTGAATACCTTCTGGATAGACCTCATATAGTTAAAAGCGGGGACCAAGTCATTTCTTAATATTTCAGTCAAGTTTGAGAGAAATTCACATTTTCAAAATAAGCATTATAGGAGAAGAGACTGGATGTATGTGATTTTTTTTTCCTGACATGAGATACCAACTTACAGTTTAAAAGGTCTTATTTCTATAAAGCTATTTGTCCCACAGATGTAATTATTTTTGTAAGTTGGTTATGGCCAGCTAATGTTTATCCAGCTCTGTATGTGCACCTTGCTCAGTTAGGAATGACTGGTTATCGATTTTTATTTCTATGTTTCTTGTCAAAGATCAATTTTTGAGTAAAATTAAGTAATTGTTTTTCTACATGCTATTATTTGTTAACCGGGGAAGTAAGTTTTAAAGTACTTGTTTTCCCCTTAGAAATGGGATATTTTTGTTCCCTTTAGTTTGCTTTGGTTTGAAAGTTTTTCTTGAAAAACTTAATTATATGTTACCCATTTATCACAAATTCTCCCTTAATGCAAACTGGAGTCCTCAGTTTTAAAGTCATTAATGGATGGCCTGATGTGTGCTGTAAGTGATTTCCGTGGAATGGGTCATTTCCAGATGAAGCACTGATTCAAAGACTCAGAACATAGCATATATGAAGTTGGTTGTCCTCCTGGTCCTAGAGAATAACCTGAGCATCTAAAAGAACCTCCCATTAAATAGGGAAGATTTTGTAATTTAAAGACATTTAAAGTGACATGCAAGACAGATGTTTCAGAAACTTTTCAGAATCTGTTGCTAAACCTGTTAATTAGAAACTCCCTAATTCAAATTTGGCTTAAGTTGGAGGAAGCTGGGCTTAACATTTACCCTTTCACTGTCTACAAAAAAAGAATGACTTACCAAACAAAATATATAGATCAAACAAGGTGAAAGAGGAAATTGGTGTACTTAATAAAATAAACTATTCTGAAGCACTTTAAAAGCATATATTAATTGACCAATTAGTCTAGTGCCATTTATACTTAAAAAATTGTTAATATCTTAGCTTGGTTGCAGTGGTATTCTGTTTAAATTTTGTTTACAGAATATTTAAAATTCAGATTATTTTTTAATTCATTTATTTCAAGTCCATAATGTTTTTACCCAAATCCACTTGGTACTGAATTCCAATTTTCTTAAGCTTATTGCTTTAGCCATGAAAAAAATTAAATTAGATTCTGTTCTGTCTTCCCAGTAAATGCTGGGCCCCTAACCCTGTTAACAAAGCTGCTATTCAGGAGGGAAGCGGTGAGCTTGGGTTGAGCAGTTTTGCAGGTGGGGATTAAGCATGTTTGGCAGACACTTTCTGGGAAGTTTTCTTATTGCACTCATGGGTGCATGAAAACAATGATGTCTGTCAGGTCTTTGTTTCCATAATTTTACCATATATAAAGTTTTTAAAAAGAATGCTTTCATTTATAATGTATTAATACAGTGTAATTCTTTTGAAGAATAGTATTGAATGAAAGTTGTTTCAGACAAATGTTTAATACACTCATTCAGTAAGCTTTTGTCAGGTTAAAGATACCCCTTTTCTGAGCATAGTGTGTATGTTGTAGTGGGGAAAATACACTCCTCGCATTTGCCCACGTGGTCTGTGACATAGGTAATCAGTGGCCTGGACCTGTTTAGTTACTTGGTTTTTTTTTTTTTTTGAAGTAAATAAATGAAAAGATTACTTAATAGAATGAACAGATATATGCCCATAGTAGCAGATTCAACAGTATTAAATGATCAAAGTGTAAACATAGATTGCTTTGTGTTTAGAGAGTTGTTCTTTGTTTACTGAAGTTCCTAGGCTTGATTCATGCCGTTTACTATCTCCATTACAGTTCCTCTGACATGCTTTAAACATGTGTTTTGGTAAATACCGGTTTGACTGTGTTCTTGTTATAACTTCAGTTAGTGATCACTTGCTATAATGGCTTCCCCGAAGTTGACACTCAGTGGATGCTTGTTAAATGTCTCTGCTGCTTCACACTTCAGAGTTGCAATCAATCTGTTTATATTGCCAGTGAGCATTCCTCACTTCATCTCTAGTTCCCTGTCTTCAGCCTGTATCACTTTGGAACTTGTGCTCATGAAGGCAACTTTACCATCCATCCCAGTAGAGTTTTCTCACTCCTAAACCTTCCAACCTCTCTGTAGCACAGGGAACTTTAGAATTAATTTATTTGTCTACACATTAATTCCTTCAAAAAATTGTTAAAGGCATTTACTGTTTTCAGTGCTAGTCTGGAGTCTTATGTTTTTCTACTTTCTGTTTCTTATGTGTGATATGTTTCTGATTCTTGTGCTCTCTTCCTGTCTCTCTTGCTCCATCATTGATTCATTCAGACATTAGTTGAGCACTTAATGCCAGGATACACAGATAAATGACAACCAGTCCTCTCCTGAAGTAACTCACAGTAAACACTTTGCATTTGACCTTACCCTTTCCATTCTAATTTCTTTCCACTCCCTAGCAGCAACTATCTTGTCAGCCAGACTCCTTTTTGCTTGCACTCTCTCATCCAGGGTGCTCCTGCTGCACGTTTCTGTTCTCACTGTCCTCTAAAATCTTCTCTCCTTTTTCATGACCTGCTATGGAAAAGCCTGCCATTTTCTGAGAATTTTTATTTTCTCCTAGCCCAAAGCGGGCTCTCATTTTTCAAAATTTGTTCTGTTCTCATGCCATTAATAAATTATTTTTCCTCTTAATATTTTATGAAACAATATTCACTTTGTGCCCATTTAGATTATAACATCTTTAATGGCAGAGACTTTCTTGCTTTACTCCAGTAAATGTCTATACTGTCCAGATATGTTGGCACACATTTTTGGTTTATAATTAATACTTTTTGACAAGTTTATTTTCTGAATGTTGAAGAATGAAGAGATTTAATAAAATTGCCATATTGCATTGAATAGCAGAACGGGAGAAAGTATGCTACTAATTGTCTCTTGTAAATATGGATTTGCAGTGGTTCTGATTCAACACACGTTGTGTTTGTGTTTGTGTATTTTGGCTAAGAGATTCTGGTTTTCGTTATATTGTATCTAATAGATATTTGTTTAGAAAATAAATCTGTGTGCTTGACCCATGGACATGGACAGTGGTGTAGGGATTGCCTGAGGGAGTGGGGGCTGGGTGGAAAGGAGCAAAATGAAAAAAATTGGGACAACTGTAATAGCATAAACAATAAAGTTTAAGAAATGATCCAAATTGCTATGAATGTCAAAAACTTTTGATGATGTTTAAAGTTTTAAAATATTGGTAGAAGGTAAAATGAAGAGCTTATATTTATTTGAATATATTAAAATGCAGATGGTTAGTAGCTAAGGAGCATTTATTTATTTGTATACTTAATGTATAAATCTATGTATTATGTACCAATTTTCCATGACAGATTAATACAGAGCCATTTTTGGAAAGACTTCAATTGAAATGTGTTCAGGATGTACTTAGAAACATTTTAGGAAATAGATCAGGCTGACAGGAAACTGTGGAAATGTAGAATTTTTAAAAGCTGGTTGAGAGTCTCTCAAGTGCTAATTTAGGAAGGCATTATCAGTTTATTTCAGGAAATACACATTTAAAGTCTTAACAAAGAGCTATTTGGATGTGATGCTATATTGTAAGAGAGGGCACCATAAGCATGTTCAGTGTTTGGGCATCTGGAGAAGAAAATCTCAATGGGGTTGTCATTTGCCTTTAGGTCTATTTGCTTTTTCCAACAATGTTTCAGAAAGGTGACAAATGTACCAGACAACCAAAGGAAAATTTATTTCTTTAGAGTTTATAGTCATTTAAAGAATGGTTTTCATGTTTTAAAATAATTTGTAATAAATAATCATTTCTTTCTACTTAATACATGTGTGTTGTTAGAACAGTAACTTCTTTAGATACTACACTTTTGCTTGGTATAAAGAAATGGTATACCTATATATTATTTTACCACTAATGGGTTTTCTTAACAATGAGAACACTTGATTGTCCTCCTGATTACCATGGTGGACATTATGGTGGACATTAATAAAAAGATAAAAGTGAACCTAACACTTAATCACTTCTTCCAGGTAATTTTGTGCCATGAAGCAACTGCTTAATAGAAGTTTTTTTTTTTTTAAGCTTAAAGTTTTTTTATAGATTTTATTTATTTATTTTTAGAGAGGGAAGGGAGGGAGAAAGAGAGAGAGAGAAAAACATCAATGTGCGGTTGCTGGGGGCCATGGCCTGCAACCCAGGCATGTGCCCTGACTGGTAATCAAACCTGCGATGCTTTGGTTTGCAGCCTGAGCTCAATCCACTGAGCTACGCCAGCCAGGGCTTAATAGAAGTTTTTAATCTATAAAATAAATTTTCTAATGTCCTCAACTTCAGTGCGATGTTTTGTAATGTAGCTGTCTGAGTTGCGGTAGACCAGAGCTAGAAGTTGGATCTGGGCTTGCAGATAGTGGGTGTGATTCCCCGCTCCCTCTCTGTCCTGCATGAGGGTGCCCATGATGGTGGTAGTTTTCTTGGTGTTGTAGGTGATTGAAGAAGTTAAGTGCTATTTACGTGTTTTTTTTTTAAACAAAAAATGGATTACAGTCATATTGCTAAGTTCTTATTTTTCTCTTTTTCCATTCTAGATTAAAGAGTCTATTGTTGGGGAAATCAGACGGGAAATTGTAAGTGGACTTTTGGCAGCAGTGTCTTCAAGTAAAGCATCTAACTCTAAGCAAGATAGTCATTAAATGGAATTAATAGGTAAATTTACTGAATGTCTTTGTTTAGATAAATGTAAAATAGTACTTAGCTTTTAATGCTTTGTTTTCTTACTACACAGGTCTCTTTCTCTAACGAAATTTTGATTTTAAGAATGTATCTAATATATTATTCTAGAGTATGAAAACCTCATACAACCCCTTCTGAAATGTAAGCAAGTCAAATCTCATAATACTAACCTTCATGGGAGGTTAGGGGGCAGAAGTTGGTTTACAGTTGTTTGTATGGAAAATAATACAATAATTAATAAACAATAATTCAAGAATAAACTGTGTTTCCCATACTCACATCTATAAACCTTCTTTTGCCCTACCCTGTATTATGTCATTTTACTGGATTTTCATTGTAACAAATAAATGCTAGAATTGAGGAAATCAGGACCTTCAAACTTGAGTCTTATTTTGGTTGCGTTGGTTATAATAGTATTCAGATGTGTAATTTATGGGCCAAGATTTTGAGAATTAATCACAAATTCTTAGTGTCTTTCTCAAGTTTTGTCTTTTAAAGACAGATATCCCATAGATCCCTATCTAGTCATGTCATAGTATATGTAGAATTGTTTTCTGTTTTATTTATTAAAATTAATTCAATTTTATCTTATAGCTCTAGCTACATTTTATAAAATATGTATTAATAGTAATACTTGGTGAATGCCAAAGTCAGTAATACATTTCTGTAGAATAATGCCTTTAATGAAACTAAAAATATTCATTCAATAGAATATGAGAAGCAACATATAATTTGAAAAACATAATATGTAATTTCCATTGTAGAAAGTAGGAAAAATATTTTTATAAACTATTTCATAAAATAATGAATTTTTTCAAAGCCAGAGATAAAAGAATGAACTCTCAAGAAGATGTATAGAGATCACAATAGGATCTTGTTTATATATATATAAATGTTGGTTATATTTATATATATGTTCAAATTTCTAAAGTATATATATATACTATTTATAAATATATATATTTAGAGAATATTTTCATTTCACATTTAAAGATCTTTTTAATAATAATATTTGAAAGATGTTTAATGCTTACTTTTTCTTTTTTAAGGTTAGCATGGACCATATTAGCTCTGTAATGTTGGAGTTATCAATGATATACACTGGTGGAGGTGTTATTTCTGCTTCAGAAGATACTTGCTGCTGAGCTGGGCTGCTGTATTCAGCATACAATGTTATTTCTTATATGTATATCTTTTTAAAAAACATACATAGAAACTTAGGCACTTTGCTTACTTTATTTCTTTTCTAAACTATCAAAACTGTAGCCATTTGAAAAGCCTAATATTTATTTTTATGTCAATATTTTCCAATCAATTCCCTATGTAGAATTAATTTTAAAACTTGAAAATGTCCAAACTTAACCAACGTATAAATAACATATTTCTGCAGACTAGTTTTCTTAAACACTGACCTCTATGAGGTATTTACTGTGCAATAACTGATTCATTTTTTGAGAGCTTGAAACAAATAATGATTTTTTCTCTACTGCTGTTAATTAATGTCACTTCCAAGAAGAAAAATTGTTCTGTTGTGAAAATTTACTATTAGTTCTTAAGGAAGTTACTAATAGCAGTAGGATAAAATTCTCATATGAGGTTTCCTACAACTACTTAACGTTCTTACACTGTAAGCATTGTTACTTCACCCCAGACAAATGTAATTTTGTGATAGCTTATGTAGTATTTTTCTTTTGGAAATGTGCCTCACATTAAACACTATATACTTTTTGTATTGTCCAGACTTTTTTATTATAAGGAGATGTTTCTTCTTCTGTCTTTTAGACAAAATAGTAGAGAATTGCCAAAATAATGGGGCCTGTGACTTGAATGGGTATAAGCTTTGGAAATAAGCTTTTTATTTCCAAAATAGAAGTAATTTAGATTTGTTCTCCTTATAATAGATGGTTTTAGTTCATTTTCAACCATTGAGAACTGTTTGTTTTTATGGAAGATGGTTTCTTATTTGGTTATATATGTGTTAAATAAAAGTGTAAAGTAACAACCAAATGTTAATTAGAATTATTCCTTTAGCATTTATAATTTTTGACTTCTACTCTTTGTGTGAAACTTTAATCAAAAGTGGTTGAAGTGTTAACATATTCTTTGAAAAACTATCTAAAAGGTTTATAAATGTTTGAATTATCACACAAAGGCTGATTTCTAAAAAAATTAAAACAATAAAGTATTTATTTTGCATAAAATGTTTTTAGTGATTTCTTTTTTGGAACTTACAGCAAAATGAAATTTGATTAGATTGATGAGTAACAAATAAGGTCCAAAAGAATTACAGCATATAACCTAATAGGTTGATAGTCTCTTCTCCTGGAGAAGCTAAAGTGCAGTTTAGACCAGACCACCCTGGAGAGAGAGTATCCTAATGCTTCTTGGTCTCATCTAGTTCTGTGGTCTTAATGATTGCCATCTGAGGCCAAATAAAACTTTGCTTTAAAATATACTGTTAAACTATATTTAAAAAGGCATAAAAACTGTTACCTTATTCTTTGGTCAAATTATTCAGCAATTTAATTAGTTGATTCTAATAACAGTAATGATATGGATAAACCAAACACCCTGTGTTAATAGTAGTGTAGGCATCAATGTTTTTTACTCAGTTTTGTAGCTGCTTTAGTTCATTTCTGACAGTACAAGATACCCAGAATTTGCTAATCAAAATTAGAGATACAACAGTTGCAATAAAAGGCTGAGCCAATGAGCAACTCACTTAATAGTACATAAATAAAATGAACTTAACGTATTAGAGTTTCATCTTTCCTCTCCCCATTTGAAACCTTGTGCACTTCAGCCTTTAAAGACCTATATTGAAGTCACCATGGTAGCTGCTGTGTGGAAATGAATGAGATATTTACCTGGCAGGGGAGATACCGTGATCACAGAGATGGTTTTCCCAGGGTGAAGCTTATCCATTGCATTCCAGATGTGCTGACCCCCACAATTTCCCCAAATATGGGAAACTTGACTGCATAATTTGTGCTGGTAGGGGACTGCATTCATGTTCTTCCTGGGGGAAAAAAAGAATGAGAGGGCCTATGAACTAAGTAGAAAGACAGGGCATATTTTTATTTCTGGGTAAGTTTGGAAGCACTGCATGAATAGAATGAAGAAGAATAAAAAGAATTTGAGAGCCTATCCTTGAGTGGTCAGGGAAATCTAAAGGTATGTGGTTTGACTAAAGTCTTAAAGAATGGGAAATGGAAAGGATGGGGCTCAAGTGGTCTATAACATTAGTAAAGATTGTCCAGAATGCATAAACTCAGTTTGAATTACTGTGTGATCATGGTGAAAGGAATATTTTTAAGAACCTAAGTTGTCTATAGTTTGTGCATATTGTGCTGAGAGGCTAAATGAAGAAGGCACAGAAGAAAAAGTACCTCGCAATGGTGATTTAGAAGTTGGGAGTCACTGAAGGATAATAAACCATTGTCAATAATGGGTGGCTTCTCAGACTTGATGTATTATTCCTCTAAGAATATTCTGTTGAATTTCAGTAACAGTTAAAATATGCATTACATCAGTTAAGACTATTTGCTCAGCTGGCCATCTTCAGCTATTTTTTTAGACTATTTTAGAGCAGTTTTAGGTTTATGACATACTTCAACTTTTTAAAAGGAAAATAATTCATGTAAAATAATGTAATAAAAAAGTATGTTTGGGGAATTCCTGAGGATATGTACTGCCTGTGCCCCTCACCTGACCAAACAGAAGTGATGCTGATGGAAGAGAAGCATGAAAACTGAAGAAGCATAGGTTCTCTCTTTTTTTTTTCCTTTTTTCAGTACGGGAAACAAAGGATCTATATCAGTTCTAGGAAGTGGGAAGAGGAAATATTCTATCTTGTAAGGAAAGCTAAGGATCTAAATTTTGTACTTTATATATGACTGCTGACGTCATTTATGAGAATATTGAAAGCACTTAATTAGCACTTACTCTGGCTGTATTCTAAATGTATAAAGTTAAATTGTCGTATCTAATTAATAGTTCCTCTCCTATACAGTTTTTAAATTTCTATTTATTACAATTAAGTCGGGCCCTTGTTTGCCTTGTTCTTATTCTCACGATCACAGCTGATCATGCCTCTGATAGTCATATTGAGTGATAGCTTGCATACACAGTGTCAGTGTGCTGAGCAGTAAATTGGAAATGTACTCAAAGATAAACTTAGCAACCAGATATTAGGGTCCATTTCCCTGATATGTTTTTTGGTACCCCAAAGGAGACTAAATCTTTTGTGTACAAATATTAACTAGCTTACCTGCTCACTTCACTCACTAAATTTTACTGGATACCCTTACAACACAAGTGGCAAACAAGGCCCTCCACCTTGTTTTATCCTGCCCGGCACCTTGCTTCTACACAGCGGCAGCACCGAGCTCCTTGCCCCTAGTTAAAGAGTAGTTACATTTATACAGTCCTAAAATTACACTCGGCCCTTTGATGGCAACCTCAAGGCTGATATGGCCCCTGGTGAAAATGAGTTTGACACCCTTGCTTTAGAAGATAGATATATAAAGAGATTGAATAATAACATGTTCTAAGGGAAGGTAAATAAAATACATTGTTTAGAACTTTGAAGAATCTATTCATTTGGGAGTTAGATTGCCTTTCTTTGGTAGCAAGACTTTAGAAGAGCAGGTTTTCCTGTCTGTCAGGTACTTTGAAGGAGAAATGTCTTAAGCAGAAAGCGGACATTTTATTTCTAAGGAGATATCATCTTAGAGAAAACTTTTCATTACAGCCCAAAGTTCAAAATACAGAACAATTGTAAGCACAGTGCATGGAAGGAAACCATAAGGGAACTACCTCAGTCCTTATGGAAAGGTGTGGTGGTCAAGAGAGGCCTGTGTGGCAGCAGTAAGAGCGTGAGCAAAGAGCTGTGTTGTTAATGGTAGCAGGTAATAAGCCTTAATACTGTGTTGACTGGACACTGAGAAAATGCAAAGACACTCTGAGTCAACCAGTCAAGAACAAGAATGAGACCAAAAAAGGAAAGAACTAGGTCTGGAGTTGCTGCTGAAAGGGATCAGCTGTAATGTGGAATTTGTTTCGGTCACTGATATTTGGAATTGCTTACCCTTCCCTTGGGGAAGGGATTAGCGATTAAAAATAGCTACACCTGTGTTAAACACATTGCAATTCCTTATTTGTGTTCTTGGGTTAATTGTTTGGTAAATCCATTCACAGATGATTCATGTTTTGTTTCAGTACATCACGAACAATTCCTTTATTATTTATCCAGTCCCAAAGTGGAAAAAAATTTCCCTTGAAGTATTTCGAAGGAGATTATCTGATGAGTCAATTCATAAACATTTATCACAATTTTGTGTTGGGGCAGAGATTGCTCTTGATTGAATCACAAGTGGTCATCAGATAAATCTCAGTTATGAATGTTTTTATTTGTGTTTGGTTAGAAAGTATTTATATCATTACTGACCTATTGACATGTAAAATAAGATCACTCACATAAACCTTTGAATAAAAAATGGAATGTAATAGCCCTGGCTGGCGTAGCTCAGTGAATTGAGCGCAGGCTGCAAACCAAAGCGTCGCAAGTTCGATTCCCAGCCAGGGTACATGGCTGGGTTGCAGGCCATGACCCCCAGCAACTGCACATTGATGTTTCTCTCTCTCTCTCTATCTCCCTCCCTTCCCTCTCTAAAAATAAATAAATAAAATCTTAAAAAAAAGTGGAATGTGTTTAACCAAGTCTCATCAGCCTGTGAGGACATGTGGGATTGCATTAATGATGATAGACATATTTTTAAATATTTTCCCATCACCTGCTGAGCTATATTGTCTCCCAAATGTCATACATTTACACTGAGGGGATCCCCAAGAGTTATTTATGAATCTTCATGACTGTTTTTATCTATCAATCCCAAGTGATTTCATCTTCACAGTTATATTCATTAAACATACATTTAATGAACAGCTCTTGAGTACAAAACGCTAATGACAAAGTATTTTCATGACCTTATTTTACTATTTGCTAATTCTGCTAGCGTTTGGGCCAAGTGCTTTTTTTTTTTTAATGATTCACAAAAGAGTTTTTATTTCAGTGCAATTTATTGTTGTTTTCATTATCTTTCGATTGCTCTATGGGAAGCTAAAAGCAGATAAAAAATGACATCACAATTCTGTCAGGTATAATCCTAAACCTTTTTTAGAGTGGATATTAATTTACTGGAAGAATCTTAGCTTGATCCATTCTGCCTGTGATATCCATAATGGGAAAGGAAAATAAATGAAACAGCCTGCATCTTGTGAGATGTTTTACTTCTTTAAAATCTAGATATACATTTCGATAGAATTTTTTGTTTTGTTTTGTTTCAAGGAGGACTTTATTAGGAAAAGTTAGTGTAAAAAACATTCAAGTTCATAAAATTCAGAGAAAACAATAAAAGCATACTTTGTAGCTATAGTAATCACTTTTTAATCACAAATAAGGTAAAGTCTCAATTACTGCCTAAGCAAACACTCTTCTCTTAGGCTCTATTGTAAGCCCAGGCAGGAAACACTGCAGGTATTGGAAGGAAGCCCAATGTTGTATCTGTGTTTGAGGCTGCAGAAAGGTAAATGGCATGTTCTGACTATAGCATCACAACACTGTAGCCTGAACCAGGGTAACTTGGCTGATATGTCCTGCAGTGGAGTGTACATTAGTAATTGCACCCATGCATTAAAATTCTCATTTCTCAACAAATTATTTTTAAGGAAGTACAATAGCAGTGAAGAAAACTTCATCCATGATCAGAAATTATGTGGGCTATAAAACACAGTTGAAGTATCACTCACAATTTCTCTAAACTAGGCTTATCTTCCCAAAGATTTTGGATTTGTGTCTACCCATAGGTAAATTCCTTTTATTTTTAAAGAAATCCAACCTGGATTTCTTTTTAAAGAACACCCTGGAACTTGATATGGAACATCAGTGAAACAGATAACTGTCCATTTACAATACACCTTGGTTCATGGATTAGCTGCATTATAGCAAAGCTGGCAGCAAAGCAACTTTCCTTAAAGTACTTCATACTTTCCAATTAATAGCAAACATAATGGGAAAGAGGAGAAAGCAGTGGGGGAATCAGTAATAGCCCGAATTTAAATCTTTTCATGAGGAAATATTTCTGTGATGGAAAAATTCTAACCATGGATATTGTTAAAGTAATATGTATTTCTTCCATAG